CTGAGGTCACTTGCCCTGAGTAGAAGGAAACTAAACCATACAACTAAATCTAAGCCAATACCGCCACCTGCCCCGGAGTTCCGAGCAGGCGGCAGATCCTCTCCCTGGGGATGTCGGAGACTGGTGGTATTCAGGACTTTCTCCTGGAGTTTATCAGAAGATATGAAAGGGAATCCCTTTCACACCAGCAGCATCCCTAATGTTTGGTGATGAGACCCTGTGCCACCCCTGTCTCTGGTGTGCCCAGTAAAGTCACTTCTCAGATCACTAGGTAACACACTTCTGGGTCACCAGGGGACTTTTCTGAGCCTCACTGAAGCCAAGAACCAACCAAGGGCATAGGGACCTCTATGCACTTCCTCAGGACATTGTCACCACCTCCTATGTGGTATAACTCGAACATTCTGTGAACATAAAACTTAACACTCTGACTCTGCTTTGGACAAGCCCGGGTTTGAGTCCTCGCGTGCCACCTTGCAGCCTTGACCGACAGTCATTCAGTCATCCCGAGCTCGGTTCCCTCTTCTGTAAAATGGGCCATTGGGAGAATTAAATGATACATGTCATATACCCAGCAATAAATACAACCAATGACAGTCACCACTATTAGTAATTATCATGGCTATTATTGACATATGTCTTACTCCATTTTGTGCTGCTGTAACAGAATACCACAAACTGGATGTTTTATAATGAACAGAAATTTATTTGGCTCAGGTTCTGGAGGCTGGGAAGTCCAGATCAATGGGCCACATATAGTGAGGGCCTTCATGCTGCATGATACCATGGTCAAAGGCATCACATAGTGAGTGAAAGAGACAGACAGAGAGACAGAGAGACTGAACTTGCTTTTATTTATTTTTTTTTTATTTTTATTTTTTTTCCTTTTTGTCTTTTTTACTGACCGGTAATGGGATCGCAACCCTCGGTGTTGTGCCCGCACCGCGCTCAGCCGGTGAGTGGGAACCGGTCTCCACATGGGATCCAAACCCTCAGCGGGAGCGCCACCGCGCCCCCAAGCGGCGCACTCTCCGGTGCGCCACCAGGCCGGCCCTGAACTTGCTTTTATAACAGACCCACTCTAGCGATAATGACATTAATCTATTCATGACGACAAAGACCTTATGACCTAATCACCTCTTAAAGGTCCCACCTCTGAACACTGTTGCATTGGGGATTAAGTTTCCAACATGTGAACTTTGCAGGACACATTCAAGCCATAACTACATATAGTGCCTCTACCCCAGGGATAAGTTGGAGCTGTGTCAACTACTTAGATATATTAGGAGGTTGGGATAACAATACCTTCGGAGGCCTGGCAGGTAATACGAGTGGGCGAAGTTGGTATAAGACGGTAGGGAGTGTGGCAAACTAGAGAACGCATGGTCTGCTTAATGCTATTTAAAGTCAACTTATCATGAGTATATTAGCTGTGGGATTTAAAAGTCCACTGCACAAAACACTCTCTCTCTCTCGCGCACACACACACACACACACACACTCACACCCCTGTGGACACAAACCAGTCTGGGCTCCTGAGTTATATGTAGACCTAATAGAGTAAGATGATATTTTGTTGTTAATTTAGCAGATACTTGTTGAGCACCCGCTATGCCAGGCACAGTGCTAGGCTCAGGAATACAACAGTGAACAAGGCAGACGGAATCCCTGTCCTGGAGGAGCTGTCACAGTGAGGGCAGTGGGCAGCATGCCAATACGTGAAATAAAAATGACCTTTACATGCGAGAATAGTAACTGCTATGGAGAGAAATGAAGCAGTTTCAACAGGGGGCCATGGAAGGCCTCTCTGAGAGGGTGACATCTGATCAGTGACCTGAGGAGGGGCGAGGGGGCTGTGATCTGAGGAGTGAGAGCATCCCAGGCAGGGGCACGGCAAAGGTCGGGAGGCAGGAGGGTGGCCAGTGTTCAGTCCTGGGGCCTCAAAGGCACGACCTTGACATCTGAACTTGGGGTAAAACCTCAAGGTACAAGGAGCCAATGGGTGAGCAGAAGGTCTACCTGGGATCCCATGGAACCAGTTCTCCAAGAATGACCCAAGGCTGGTGAGGCGCCCAGTTCTGCCTGACCCTGAGACCGTTCCATGGCTCACTGTGCAGGCTCTGCTGAGTTAGTGCCAGCTCGTGAAGGGAGGCCTCCTAAGCCCACCTCCTCTCCACCCTGCCAGAGGGAGGCTTTGCACCTGGCAGAAACCCTAAAGTTGCCCAGCAGTTACAGCTGGACTCCGGCAGACTTCTCAGGAGGGTGTGTGGCCTCCATGACAGATGTTCTCAGAGTTCTGGGACCTGAGGATTCCTGCTCAATTCATAACGCAAAACCTGTTCCCTCCTCCACTTGCCGTGGCAGCCTTGGCCAGGAGGCTCAGGAAGCACACCAGGTTCCAGGAGGGGATCGCTTGTAAGACTGCCTGAGTGCTGGGCTCACAAGGGCAGGCTCCACTTCAAAACCTGTTCCCTCCTCCACTTGCCGTGGCAGCCTTGGCCAGGAGGCTCAGGAAGCACACGAGGTTCCAGGAGGGAATCGCTTGTAAGACTGCCTGAGTGCTGGGCTCACAAGGGCAGGCTCCACTGCCTTCAGTCATTCAGTGAGGGATTTTTTGTTTTGCTTTTCAGTTTTTGCTGGCTGGCTGGTATCCTTCAGTCATTCAGTGAGGGATTTTTTGTTTTGCTTTTCAGTTTTTGCTGGCTGGCTGGTATCCTTCAGTCATTCAGTGAGGGATTTTTTGTTTTGCTTTTCAGTTTTTGCTGGCTGGCTGGTATGGGGATCCGAACCCTTGACCTTGGTGTTATAATGCTATGCTCTAACCAACTGAGCTAACCAGCCAGCCCCTCCAGTGAGTTTTTACAGAGCAGCCATGAAATGTCCCTTGGAGGGAATGCCACCTGGATTGTCATAGCTCTCAGTCCAGATGGAGAGGCAGACCACGGACAAGCGAACCCAAAAATGAGATCATTTCAGAAGGAAGTCAGGCAGGGGTTCCTCCAGATCTGGAGGTCGGCCAGGCCTGCCTGAGGAGGTGACCTGGGATTCGAGATCTGAATGATGGGCTTTGCCTGCCAAACAAAGCAGTCTCGGGAAGACAATCCCAGGCAGAGGTGATAGCAAGTGCAAAGATCCTGGGGCAGGAAGGAGCTTGGAATATCTGAGGAATGACGAGGCCACTGTAGGTAAACCAAGGTGAGTAGGATGAGGTGAGACAGGGAGCTGGTTTGGTGGGAGAAGGTCGTGAACAGTCTTTCAGGCCGCAGCAAGGAATGTGGGTTTTATTCTGAGTGCAATGGGAAACTACTGAATGATTTTAAGCTGTGAAGAGTTATGATCTATGTTTGTCTTGGGGAATCTCCAGCTCTGTTTTCTTCCCTTTTTGGCAGAAAGATGGAATAAAAGAGCCATATAAATCTCCTTTTCATTCTTAGCCCTTAGGGACAGAAGCTAAGGTGGTCTGATTAGTGGTTTTCCCATCTCCAGGGGGTTGCTAGGTGATTGGGATTGCAGCTTTTGGGCAAGAACCTCAAATGCCTGCTAGATCCAGTATTGGTTTCCTGCTGCTGTCCTAACAAATGACCACAAACTGGGTGGCTTAAAGCAACAGGTTTACTTTCTCACAGTTCTGGAGGCCAGAAGTCCAAAATCAAGGTGAAGGCAGGGCTGTGCTTCCTCTGAATGTTCTGGGGGAGAATCCTTCCCTGCCTTTTCCAGCATCTGAAGGCTCCAGGTTGCATGTAGATGGATCACGCCAGTCTCTGCCTCTCTCTGAACATGGCCTTCACCTCCGTGTCTGTGTGTCTTATCTTCTGTTTCCTGTATGGACACTTGTCATTGGATTTAGGGCACACCCAAGTAATCCAGAATGATCTCATCTCAAAATCCTTAATTTAATTATATCTGCAAAGACCTTTTTTCCAAATAAGGTCACATTCACAGGTTTAGGACATGATCATGTCTTTTTGGGGGGCAGGAGCACCTTCAACCCACTATAGACCCTAAGAACTACAAGGAAAAGGGAAAAAACAGGATGGCCATAGAAAGAAGAGAAACAGGACTTCTGTGGAATATTTCCATTAAGCCTCCTAAGTGTTTGGGTACCGACCATAGTGTACAATTACGCAACCCCTCCCCACACATTTGTTGCGTACCTACTGTGTGTCACAGCTCTGATGATGCCACGGGTTCAGCATTGAGCAAACCCCGCGGCTTTGCCCTTGTGTCCCCCGCACACAGTAGGGCTCCCACACGCATTCGTTGCCTTCCTTTGTACGTGCCTTACTCTGCATCTAGCTTCATGGAGAAACAAGGAAGCCGTGCTAGCTGGTGTGTAGCATAAGTCCTCACAACACATGCAGCAGGAGCGATAAGCGCTCAGGAGAACCAGAAGCCAGATTATCCCAGGAGGCTCCCAGAAGAGCTGCGGCGAGACCAATGGGTTAGATCTGGGGGGAGGTGGGAAGTAGGTTCCGAGCTTGCAGAACAGAGTGGACAAAGAAGGCAAGGCGGCTCATGCCCCTTCAGAGCATCCTGGCTGAGAAGTGCTCAGGAGAAGGCTGGCTGGGGGTGGCAGGACCAGATTTCAATGAGAGTGAACAATTCTTGGGAATGTTCCAAACAAAACAAAGTCTAATCCTCTCTCAGTTTACATGGTGGTTGCTTTCCAAAAAAATAAAAAAATCAGTAACATCAGTGCCCTGCAAAAAAGTCCTTCTGTTTATATGTAAAACAGTTTGATTCTAGGCTCAGATCATTTATGAACAGGTTTTTACCACCCCCATGTGAGTGTCCAGTGGGGGGATACTTCCAGATTGTGCAGGACCATCCCGCAGTGCAGTGGTGGCCCCTGCCCACGAGTGCCACCAGTGCCCCCCTGTATCCTCCCATAGATTTCTAAAGCATTCCCAGCTCCGGGCATGGTGCCGCCTGTTGAGAACCACTGGGTGTGGGTCCCTGCGGGGCCTCCCGGCCGCGGCTCACCCCGCCTGTGCTTGCAGGTTCCATGCAGGTGATGAACAAGACCCGGCGCATCATGGAGCAGGGCGGGGCGCACTTCGTCAACGCCTTCGTGACCACGCCCATGTGCTGCCCCTCACGTTCCTCCATCCTCACCGGCAAGTACGTCCACAACCACAACACCTACACCAACAACGAGAACTGCTCCTCGCCCTCCTGGCAGGCGCAGCACGAGGGCCGCACCTTCGCCGTGTACCTCAACAGCACCGGCTACCGCACAGGTGAGGGGCGGCCGGGGTGGGCCGGGACCCCCGCGAGTGCCAGCTGCTGTCCTCCCCTGAGCATCGCTAGATGTGGTCCACGCGGCGGGGGTGCCCACGGTGATGCCAGGTAGTGCGTGGAATAACTGCAGAGTTGTGCGTTTATTTCCAGGTGTATTTGAAAAATGCAGACTTATGTGCCCAGAGTATCCATATAAAGTGAACTTTTCGAAGGAATTTGAGTTATCCAAAAAAAGTGAATCCATTTCAAATGTGACTTATAATACAGAGAGGCCACAGTGGACCCAAGCCTGAGTTTGTGTTCTTTGTTAACTGTTATTAAAGCCACTGAGGACTGTTTTGTGGACTTTGGACCAGCGACAGGAGAGAAGGTTCCGGAAGAACATTGGGGTGGGGGATGGGAATTAATATGGGTGTGGAAATGGAGAGGGAACAGATGTGGGGACTGTATGGCCGCTCTCTACATGGTAGTAACGAGGATGGGGCAGTGGTTGACGTGGCGTGGACTGCGGGCTGTGTTGGCAGTGTCGCAGCCTGGGTGGAGAGCCAGCCTGGTTCCTGTATGTTTATCTTGCTGCAGGTCCTTTGGTGGGTTCTGAAGGCTCACCTGCCAGGCTGGTTGCCTGAAGGAGAGATGAAATTCCAGTACAGTCACTGTCTCCAGCACCATTGCAAAATCTTCCAAATTCAATTAATTTAACTCTCTCATTAAAAATAAATAAATAAATACTCCCCACCTTGGGGAAGGAGCGGAGGCAGTTGTGAAATGAAATATTGTGGCTTAGATGTTGCAACCCCAGGAAGTTGCATCCAAGTGACAATGGGTTTGTTCGGGGGCGGGGGGGAGTGACAAGGAAAGGACGTACAGATGCCTCCTTCAGCTTGGTTCACAGCTGGGCAGCTTGCTCTCAGAGACACAGTGTGGGCTGGCAAAGGCACTTTGGAGCAAGCTGGTAAGGCGTGTCTTCTTACAGACTCACCCACTGCCAGAATCCCCTAGAAAGTGGGCCGAGAGAACTAGGAAAGCCTCATTCCTATACATGGGCAGTTCATCAGGCATGCCATTGTGTGAAAGCATAACCCTGTTGGTTCCTGGGTCTCTGCAGAAAGCCACGTGTGTCAGAAGTTACCATGGGCCACCACCCTAGATGGTTAGACGGGCCTGGATGTCACTGGCAGAAGCAGGACCAGTGGGACCTCCAGCAGGTCCAAAAAGTATAACCATGCCTGCTCAGAGTTGCTGCCACGTGTGTCAGAAGTTACCATGGGCCACCACCCTAGATGGTTAGACGGGCCTGGATGTCGCTGGCAGAAGCAGGACCAGTGGGACCTCCAGCAGGTCCAAAAAGTATAACCATGCCTGCTCAGAGTTGCCAACCTTCAAATGTTTTTAAATCTGAATTTTTAGGTGAAATCTCCTGATTTTTAAAAATGCTGGCAAAACTCAAATATGTCTGAGAACTGGGTATGTCTTACAGATCCCCTTTTACCACCTCTGGCTGATAGGTCTATATAGAAACCTTTAGCTTTGGATGCCAAAGGAGGACCCTTAAAGTGTTCTCATCAACCCCCCTCATTTGACAGCCAGGGCAACTGCAACCCAAAAAGGAGATTTTTCCCAGAGTCATAAAATAAGGTGTTTGTGACATAATCCAAATGGGAACCAAGACCACGGAAATTAAGAGGGGGTGTGGAAATCATATCACTCAAATTGACATTTTGGGGCTCATGGTGACAGCCAAAGCCTAGAGTTTCAAAATCATATAGGGGACACAAGAAAAGGAACCGTCTCAAAACTGATTGCTCAAACTGTATCCTTGAATTTACACAAATCACTGAAAATCAGTCTCCCCAAAGAAATTTCATTCAATTATGCTTAATTATTGTACCCTCAATGAAGATTGGAAGCATAATGTCAATGTGAATAGCCATACACACAGACCATTTATATTTTTTATAAAACTGCTATTGAGAATTTTATACATATTTAGAATGCTCCTCTCTTCAAGAAATCCCATTCCAACCTTATTTTCAGAACTGAGGATACTGAAAACATATGTTTACTCTGATGAACTTGTCTGTTCCTGGGTATTAAATAACAAGAGCTGCAAACATTCATACTTTCCCTCTTTGCCCTGGCAGCTAGGAAGCTCAGATTTGAGCATGTATTAAATTGCTATTTTAAAGTAAAAACATTTTAAAGATCCCACTGCATGATATTAGTTATACTAATTGGTGTCAATTGATTAAGAAGATGACCAAAAACACTACAGTGAATTCAGAATCCCTTTTAGATTAATTCAATTTGTATAACACATATTAGAATACATAGATAGTAAATTTTTAATCCCCAGGGACCTAAGGTCATTGGCTCCTGCTGGGTCTTAAGCCACATTAAACCGTATATCCATGTGTGCATCTAGGGAAGCTGGTTGAGTTGGATTTAAGATTTGCTGTGTATGTGAGATACCCAAGATATCAACTGTTTATTACTCCGTCAATTAAAATTCCATGCTGCTTTGGTGGCCCAGCTCCATGAATTGGTTAGAGACACTGACTCTATTTCTCCTTATTTCCCATTGGTGAGAAACAAGTCACATGGTCGCAAAGGAGCCTGGGAAATGTAGTCTTTATTCTGGGTGGTCATTTGCCCAGCTGAAAATTACTTTACTATGGGAGAAGAAAACAGATACTGAGGGAAAATTAAATCTCAACCACAGTCACAATTTCTCAGCCATTTGCATTTGTGATACCCTTTTGGATACAGGAGGTCAGCCTGAACTGAGGAAGACTGTTACTGGAAAAAACGTTACTGAAATGGGCCAACATTTTGTAATAAATAGTGCTTTTTATTTTTATTGAATCATAACTGATTATACATATTTTGGGGGTTCAACGTTGACATATGTTGATCAAATCAATATTACTAGCATATATATTGTTACAAATCATACTTATTCTTTATGCCCCTTGTCCAATCTCTCCCCAACCC